TATTTTTAATCATTTTATTAGGGGCTCATACAACTCTTATCACAATCCATACATACATCAATTGTGTAAAGCGCATTTGTACATTCATTGCCCTAGTTTCTGTTTATTTAAAGAGGGAAATGATGTGTTTTGAAGACTAAGATTTTCAGTTAGGTCCACATAAACCAAGGCTGCTTTATTCTTGGTATATTAAAAAATAATGAAGTTGAGGATTAAGGAAAACATATTTTTAAGTCCTAAATTTCAGGCTGGGGTAGAAGGGAGAGATGGCAAAGACATTTCAATGGAAACCTTTAAAGACTGAGAGATGAGACAAGTCCATCAGGGAGCCGGTTGACTGGGTTCCCTCTCTCCCTGTACTTTTTCAGGATGTTTTCAATTCTAAGTGCTTGTGTCCCTTCACTCTGTCTGGAAGCCGGGAAGAGCTATAGTTTTAAGAGTTTTATCTCCATCACGCTATTTTCTGTTCTTTGAAATTTACTTTGATTAAATCCTTACTTTTTCCAGTAATTTCATAATTCAGTCTCAGAACAGGAGTGTATATAGTTAAGGTGTGACATCATGAGTCGGAGAGAGCTGGAACGCCATTGGCTGGAGTGTACATGCAAGAAGTCTGTAGTCTGAGTGAGAACATGTCACCTTATACATAGCATACTTGTAGGAATAGGAACTAAACAATGGTCTCCTCCAGTGTTGACACATGATGCTTATAAGTCATAAGCCAATGAACAAACTCCATTAAAAATTCATTCAAGAAGTATTCTTCAAGACAGACAGGAAAAAAAAAATCATGCCCACTAAGCATTTTCAGCAAATGTTGCTTTAGGATATGCCGATGTGGAGGTCTAATCCCTACATTTACTAGTACACATGATTTTGTTAACTGTCATAAAATTTCAACGTTCTTTTTATTCACATTCCTGATGAAATTTGAGTTTTAATTTTTAATCTAAATGAACTTTGTGGAGATAAAAATGAAACCGTCTGGTATCCCTAGCCTTGTGATGGAGCAGTTTTTTTTTTCTTTCTTTTAAATACATCACACAGATGTTGACAATTTGAGTAAGAGTCATCCAGTTTTTTTCAAATTATTTATGAGTCATTTCAGAGTTATTGAAACAGTAAGCCACACCAAGCACAATTATAAATGACTATTTTAATTGGTATTAAATGATCTTCTTTTGCAGGAGAACTTTGGTTAGGACTGAAGAAGGTTTTTTCTATTGTGAATCAGAAAAATACCAGTTTCATGCTGTCCGTGGCTCTGGAATCTGAAGATGGCACATTAGCATATGCATCATATGATAATTTTTGGCTAGAAGATGAAGCAAGATTTTTTAAAATGCACTTAGGACGGTATTCAGGAAATGCTGGTACGTTTTTCCTTCTACAATTATCCAAAGGATTTAAATATCAATGACTCGATTTTAGGTGAAGAGATAATGAAGTTCTCTTGCCATAGGACGCAGTGGCTGCAACAATGAGCTCACACAATAGTTGTGAGAATGGTGAAGGACCAGGCAGGATTTTGTGCTTCTAGGAATGCTTCAGTGGCACCTAAAAACAACACCAATGACACATGTGATAACAGAACTATGAAAATTGCCCATCTTGAGTTTCGAAACTCCCTATAAGTATAGTGAGAAGCCTGGTGGCATAGTGGTTAAGCATTGGGCTGTGATCCTAAAGGTCACCAGTTTGAAACCACCAGCCCCTCCACGGGAGACAGACAGGGCTTTCTACTGCCCTGAAAGCATAGGGGCAGCTCTGTCCTGCCTGACAGGGTCCCCATGAGTTGACATTGAGTCTATGGCAGTGAACTTGGTTTTGGTTTTGGATGATCATTGTTCTATCATGCTTTTGAGGAGTTTTATATCTTTACAAAGTGCCATATTTAATCTCAATAGATTCTTTGGCAAGTGATCTATGAGGTGGGGGTGGAAGGTTCCGAGCAACACATTTAGAAGTTATAAAACATTTGAGCTGATCTCCAATTTTTTCACTTTGAAGCAAACCCTATTACCATTGAGTTGTGGGGACCGTGTACTGGGTTTTGAGGCTATAAAATCTTTATGAGAGCTGATAGCGCCATGA